TGTTTTTTTTTGTGTTGTCTCTCTTTCTCCCTTTTCTGTGTATCCTTGTTTCTGGTGGTTAATCCCAAATTTTTTATTAAAAAAACCCTTACAAACAGTTTTTCCGTTCTTATCACCCCTTTACAAACTATTTTTTAATGCAGTTTTCTTCCTCTCTTCTATAACTGTTATAACTGTTGCAGGTACGATTAAGCCGGTTTAGCAAGTGAGGCAGCTGGCAAGAGAGGCTTCCACGGTTGTTTGGGTGCATTTCGGGCTTGCTGTTCTTTGGGTCTTGTAACATGGTTTGGACTTAAACCCAAATTGAGTCATTGTAATGACCTAAAAAAATAACAATAGAATTAAATTAATATCTAATATTAATAATAATAAAAATAAAATAAAACAATAAAAATCCCGGACAAAACGCGTGTCTACATAGCCTTTTCGAGCTGCTCACGAGTTTCAGTTCAAGATTTCGAGTTCGAATTGAACTTAAAAATTTTAAGCTAGAGAGTTTTGGAGTTGAGTCGAACTCTATTTTAGAGTTTTCGAGTCGAGCCGAGCTCAGCAATACTCGAGCTCGACTCGACTTGTTTACACCAATAGGAGAGACATGCTTAAAGATGGAATTATATATTCACTTTGATATTTAATAGATAATATTTATTCGAAATTTTTTTAAATGTTAATAAATGTATATACCATATAGATGTAACTACTTAAACTCGAGACTTCTTAAAAGAACAACAGTCTCTTCTATAACTAATGTCGTACAATAAATTTTAAGCTTATTTTTTAATAATTTATTATAATTATAAAATAATATTTATTCATACAGACATAATTGTTTAAACCTAAAATTTAAAAAAAACAACATTCTCAGAATTACTAATGCTAGTCAATAGGTTCTTTAAGTCTATATATATATTTTTAAACTTACCATCTAAAAAAAGAGATATGTGTCCGTTAAGAATTTTTAACTAGTTTATAGATTATTTATTTAAGTCTATATTTTTAACGAAATTAAATTTAGATAAATATAATATCTGTCATTACATGCATGAATTCGACTAGACGCGTACACAATAATCAATGATGTACAGAGTAAAGAATATTTCTTTTAAGACTTTTATTTAATAATTGTGTAAATTATACGTTTAGTACTTAACAAAAAGAGATTTTTATGGGTAAATTATATTATTCATCACTCAACTATCTTATTCATCACTCAACTATCTTATCATTCCTATTTTGTTTATTAAAGTTTATTTTTTTTAATTTAATTATTTAACTTTCAAATTACTCCTAATTTAATCACTCTAACTTTCAAATTTATTTCTTTTATTTTAATTATATATCAAAAAAATAATAGTGAAAATTTTTCATGTCACAAAAATTATTAATAAGATAAATTAGAGTGATTAAAACATGAGCAATTTGAATGTTGAGTAGTTAAATGGAAAACTTTTAAATTTTAGTAACAAAAATAGAAGTGAGAAGATAGTTGAGTGGTAAATGATGTAATTTACTCATACTAAGTTTGTAACACCGAGATTCCAAAATGAAAAAAAAAGGTTAGATGTGATTTTAAAATAAATAAAAGTTTAAGTATTAAAACAAAATAAAATGGTTAGTTTAAGTATTAAACATGTAGTTTACCCTTAATAATAATGTAATATTCTCTTGTACATTTATTAGAGTTTTGATCGGAGAAGTTTAATATATGTGCGATTTTACCTAACAAACCTTTTACATTTTAAGGCCAATCATCAAATGTTCGAATATTATTTTAATAAGCTCTTATATTATTTTTGGCTTAGTGAATAAAAACTAATTAAATTCTCATAAAAGATTTACATTCAGGTAGTCTTTATATTTAAAATTTAATTATTAAACTTTTTTTATAATCGCGGGTATTCGATCTATTGATCAACTAATTTATATTAAATACTGTAGAGACAATGATGATCCTCCCAACATAATTTTATCTATTCGCAAACCCCCTAGTTTACCCTCCCAATCAATTATTTACCCTTAGCTCGGGCTATGCATATGCCTACCATAAAATTTGAATTTTCTTTGATTAATTATTTATTTTATTGATGTTGTCCATCTGAAAATTATTTGTATCTACTCATACGAAAATTTTATATTATTAATGGATATTTACCTACCCTCAAAAAATTTTATGGGTCTTCTACTAATTAATATATCTTATTATGATGATGATATGTGTCATTCAAGTAAAGAGTTTAATTAATTACTAAAGAGGTTAGTTCAATTAGCAAGCAGTTTGATATCGTTTAAGCAGATCTCGAGTTTAAATCTTTGTGTATGCAGAAAAATCTCATTGAGAGACTCACCCACTGAAGTCAGGTGTGTGATCCGGGTCGGTCTATCAAAAAGAAAAAAAAAAGAGTTTAATTAATTTTTTTTTTAAATTTTATTGATTTAATCGAGTGAAAAGTATAATATATATATAATTAAATATATTTAGAAAAATCAAAATCATTAATTTAGAAGATATATATAAAATTATATATATATATATAAATAAGAAAACTTATAAAATTTATAAGAGATATAAAAATAAAAAATATAACATTACATAAAATATTAAAAGAATTAAAAAGTATACTAAAGAAAATATTTGTTAAGTAATTAATTTTAAAGAGGTTAAAAACTTTCATGAAAACTAATGAGGGTTGTCACAAGTGGTTGGAGTTCATGAACTTAAACTCGTAAGATTAAGTTTGAAACTTACCACTGTCATTTTTGGTGGACAATCTATAAATTCTTATGTAAATCCTAATTGCGTCTTAGGTATGTCCTGACATTGTATTGGGAAACTATCCTTACCTAAATTTTTTTGTAAAAAAAAACCATGAAACCAATTTGGAGTTTTTCTATTTTATTTTATTTTTGTTTTTTGACAAGATAGTTTTTCTAATTTAAAATATATATTTATAGGGTTTAAATTTTCATTTGAGTTTACTCATTTGAAAAATAAAAGAGGTATATATTCTTTCCTACACGTTCCGAAATTCTAAATGTAATTTCTATATTCGAAAGCAATACTTTAGCTTTTCATTTTCACTATAGAGTCATCATTGAACCAATAATATTGATTGGAAAATTTTGCTTGCTTGGTATCATTATACTCTAAACGATTATAAAATAATATTTATTTAAAAAAATTAATCTACGACAATATTTATGATAAACATAACTGTTTAAATTTAGATCTTCTAGAAGAAAAAACATTTATTTTTATTATTATGATCATTTAATAAATTCATAAAAATATTAATTTAAAATAATTATTAGTATATTAATAAAGGTTTGTATTATTTAACTTGTTAATTGACATATGTCACAAATTTAATTTTATACACTTTCTTCCACTCATTTCATATCGAATAAATAGAAAATGGAATAATACATTAAAATATTATTATTCTTAGAGATTTTGAGTTCGATCAATTGTGCTTGTAATATGTGTACATTATTAATTGATTAAAAAAAATTCTAAACAGATACTACCTTATAATCACTTATATTATTAAAAACAAAATCAATAGAACAATAAATTAATAAAACCCTACATGTTCTCTCTTTTGTCTGTCTTGTATTATTTTTTCTTTACTTTTTTATATTTTTTTCATCATCTTAATGGTATTTATCTTAAATTGATCGTGGAGAGCTAATTTTTCTTTTTCTTTTATTTCCTTCCCCTTGAAATCTAAATCTAAGTTATGGTATTTTTATTTAATTAATATTTTTATTTTCGTATGAAAATGGTAACTAATTTTATATGTTATAATATACTATTTGATTATTTTTGTATCATTTTTTCTCGGGATTGAATTTGAGGTTACCTCTTTATATAATATTTATTTGATTACCATGTTGATTTATCCCTATTTTAGATCATTGAGTTGGATATTGATAGGATCTCATAATCATAAGAGATATGTTGCGATTAATTTATGCTAGTATTAATTTGTTAACGAGTCATTATTGTTATATGCATTTTTATGTTAGTATTGATGATGTTTATCCTTCATTGTCGATAATGATATTTATTTATGTATATTATTTGTCCAAGTTGTTTGATTGAGTTTTAATTATGGATGATCATGGGTTAGATCAGATCGAGTTTTTGGCTATCTGAATCCATCTTGAGTATAACATCCTTGATCCGATAATATATTTCAAAAAAACCCTAACACCTGAACCCGAACTTGATCCGATAATATATTTATTTATGTATATTTATTTATGTTTTAATTATGGATGATCATGGGTTAAGCATTTTTCACCTAAACCCGAACTTGATCCGATAATATATTTCAAAAAAACCCTAACACCTGAACCTGAATTTTCAAAAAAGAAAAACCAAACCTATCATATCAGAATGAGTCTGAACCCATCGAATTCAAGTTAATGTTCAATCCCTAATTTTAACTCTTTCATTATACGTCTTAATTCATACAGTTTAATGAGTGATTACTGATTATACTAATATTTATTTTATAAAATCCTTTTATAATATTTTTATGAGCCTAGGGTGATTACAATGTATTATTTGTTCGAAAGACTCTTAATCATTTGGTAATAAACGCTCGAACATTCCTGCAAATATAATACTCGAATTTGAAATCTCTAAAGACAACAATCATTTTTTAACAATTAAGTAATTTTAACTGTGCAACTTCCTTATAATTTTAGATATAAGCTCTTTATTCAATAAAAATAAGTGTTATTTTTAGCTAGAAAAAAAAACCTTGACCAACCCAGTGTTCAACATAAGGAATCTTGAAGGGACAAATTTCATCCAAACTTTTTAACAAGCGTTTGCTTTCTGAATACAAAAGTAGAGTTTTATATATTATTCCATCTAACCTAACCTTGCATGCATTGATTCCCTCAACTTTTGACTTTCCTTCCCCACAAGAATCTTAGTTTTTCAATAAAATGATCATCAATCTCATGAACTATCCATAACTTTCAAAAAAAAAAAAAACCAGCTTTCTTCAATGGCTTCCTGCTGCAATCCTGATATTTTCACCTGGCTTCAAAACCTTCCTCCAATTCATCAATGGAGAACAAATTCAGTGTCTATTTGCATATGTTCTTCATCGACGTCATTCCATCCATCACTCAACCTCTCCGTGACCAAAAACACGGAGAACTCGGCGTTTTCCGTCTCTGTTTTAGCCGATTTCAATCTCCCCATTCCTCTTTGGGCTTCGAAATCATTGAAAATGAACTCTAAAACGTCGAAACCATTCGAAGAAGAAACCATTTCTTGCCTTGTAATCAATGTAATCAAAGACGTTCTTAACTACGGTTCTAACATGAACAAGTACCCCACGATTCAAATCCCGAAACTCAACTCAATCTCGGGATTCAAACACGTCTTCAATCTCGCGTTTCTAACGCTTGCGCTCATGATTTGTATCTATGAAGCCCCGGCCGATCTCCGGTCGGCTTGTCTTGATAGTTTGAAGAATCAATTAACGAGTTGTCAATTGAGGGCGGCTTCGAAATCTTTGATGAGGTTGTTGGGATCAAACTTGGAGGAGCAATGGATGCGGTCTGTGAACCTTGCAATTACTAATTGGATCGCCGAGTTTCGAGTGACTAACCGCGGCAGGCTGACGATGAAGACGCCGTCTCCTTTGTATGCGTATGCCATTTCGAGGTTCGGATTATGGAAAGTTCAACTGTATTGCCCTATGATAGCCATGGATTTGGTGAATTCGAGCAACCCTTGCGCTGACGAGAGGCTCCTTTTCTCACTTAATTATCACCAGCTTGAAGGGGTTACTCAATTCAATTATAGGGTCATTGTGCAAGAAAAATGGATCGATGTGATGGTGAACATAGACAACATAAGGTAAGTTTATCTAAATTTTCATTAAATTCCGATCACTTCGTGTCAAATGCGAGTTTAGATCTAATTCGATCTATGATTATCGAGATTTGAACCTGTCATTGCTTCATTGCATGCACCCAAATTTGGTCATTATTTAAGTATATGGTCTGTTGTGCAACAGATGTGATGTAATCCGGATTGTAAACGAGACTCTAATGAACGAACGAGGAGTTGGGGTAGACGACAAGCATTTTCCGTCGCGAGTATCACTGCAGTTAACCCCGACGATCCAGTCCAACATAATAAGTGTCTCGGTAAGCAAGTCGTCGGACAACCCGACGAGAGAAATAGGAACAGAGAGAACCGTGGAGACCTCATTTGATCCTCCAAACTCTTTCTTGGGGCTGAAGGTATCCGCCGGCGAGACCATGACGATGAGCATGAAACCATGGAAGTTTGAGCAATCCGTTAAGGGCTACAGCGGGACGCTGAATTGGTTCCTCCACGACTATGTCGACGGCAGGGAAGTGGTGTCATCGAGACCATCCAAGTTCGCGTTGATTAACCCCAAGGCGTGGTTCAAAGATCGGTACTCGAGCGTTTACCGGCCTTTCACTAAGCAAGGAGGGGTGATCTTTGCAGGGGATGAGTATGGGGAAAGAATTTGGTGGAAAGTTGATAGGAGTGCTTTGGGGAAGACGATGGAATGGGAAATTAGAGGATGGATTTGGGTAACATATTGGCCTAATAAACACAGAACGTTTTATACTGAAACTAGGAGGCTTGAATTTAGAGAAATCCTTCATCTCAACATTTGTTAGCCAACTATAATATAAAATTTAATTTAATTATAAGTAATACATAACGATTTTGAGATTCGAATCTCAAAACTTATTATTATATTTTTCTTTGTATAAAAAATTATTTAATAGTTAAAATTAAATTAGTTATTGAGATATTTATCATTTATCACTTAAATTCATATCATGTTTGTATTAATTTATTAAATTATAATGATGTTTACATATTTAAATAACATTTGTTATTGTATGAATCAATTGACCTCGACGATTAAAGGAATGGTTGTTATTTTTATAGGTTTCAAGCTTGAGTTCTAACAACTTCAACATATTTAAATAACGATGGTTGTTATTGTTGATGTTTTTTTAGGAGGTGTTGGAATAGTTGATGTTGTTCGGGGTAGGAGGTAGTGGCATTCTTGATGTTGTTCATGTTAGACAAAATATTAATCTGAGAATTAAATAATAATAAAACAAATAAATATTATTATTGAATCAAGCGAAGCAAAATAAATACGAAATTAAAATTAAGAAACATGTAATCAGACATAGTTGGATAAACATAATAGGAATTTTTGTTAAGGCCTGTATGAATATAATTTTTTTTGTTGAGACATTTATGAATAGTTTTTTAAGATAAATTTATATCTCTTCGGTGTGAGTAATGTTGGCCGTCGATCTTCTAAGATATAACAACAAACGATCACAATAATAAGTATATCTGTAGTAATCAGTCGAACACAATCATGTATTTCTCTATCACCAGAAAGAACAAAATTGAAAGAAATTTTCTAAGTATTTTTCTATTCTGAAGTTCTAAGTTGTAACTTGTGTCCAATTTTATATCAACTTATTTATAATGGAGAGGAAATGAACTTAAAAGTTAATCTTTTGATGAAGAATTAAGACTATTTGATGAATGGATTCATTGAAAAGTTAACATGTGTAATTAAATGGATGTAACTTTAAACAAAAAAAAAAGTCTATTCATTAAATGAAATGACTTATTATAAATATCATCAATTTTATTCAATTAATATTTTATTTTCCAATATTTGAGGAGGAGGCAGTGGCGTTGTTGATGTTGTTCCAAGAGCTAAGAGGAGGTGGCATTATTAATGTTGTTCCAGGAGGAGGTGGTGGTGAAACTCGAAGTGGTGCTCCATTAAGTTCTATTTTTGACAGCGATGGGACTGGAGGTGGTGACAGAAGGCAAATGTGAAGGTGAAGGTGACCGTGGAAGCGGAAAAGGTGTTACAGCTGAAAGTAATGAAGGCAAATGTGACTCTGTCGCCATCGGTGTTGCATGTGCAACTTCTACATTTGGTTGCGACGTTAGGGGTGGGGGCAACGGTGGTCCTCTTGAGTCCTGATACTACACTTGGTTATAACAATGGTGGTGTCGGTTTCCGTTGGTAGATTACATTTGGAGGCAACAACGATGGTGCTTGTGGCGTTGGTGGTCCTCCTCATATTGCATTTGGCTGCAAGTATGGTGGTGCTAAGGATCTTATATCTACTCCGATATCTTTTGACAAACTTCGATGGTTGGGTTGGCGGTAAAACTTCAGCCAATGGTCTTGACGGTGGTGGTGAACGTGCTTCTATGTCAGTGTTCATATATGTTGATATCTTTGCTCGCTTTGATGGTGGTGTAAGTCTATGCTAAAAAAACTAAAATTACAATATATTTTTTAAAAATTATTATTCTATTAAAAATCTGTTTTTTATCATAAAAGTTTATAAATTTGTCATTTTTTTTAATTTTAATCTATAACATAAAATCATACGTATGTGTTTAGTAGCGTAAGCAATGAAACTTTAGTTAATGTTGATGTTGATAATGGTCACAATGGTGATGCTGACTGTGGCACCGGCTTATAGTTTTTGTTTTTTTTAAATGTTATATGAAATTGTTTTATTTTAATGAAAATTAAGCTCTTAATAATCTAAATCCAACGAATCAATAATATAAAAAATCATAACTAAACCCGTTTTAGCTAAACGTAAGAAACCACGGTTTAAGCTAAACGTAAGAAACCACTAGTGTAGTTTACCCAAAAATAAAACAAACTGACGTACAAGAAGACGATAATTTAAATATACATGCAGGTGATTACAATAATTTTTCCGCCACTGTTCGGCGAGCTTTGGGGCGGAGAAATTGAGGACAACGGCGGACATTTCGAATCTCTTCTCTCTCTCTCTCGCTCTTGAAAAGTACACTCTTTTTTTTTTCACCAACTGTTTAGCTATAGATCTTTATTCATTCTCTTTCTTTTCCAGTTTGCCTCACGATTTTCCCTCTATATTTCCTCTCTCTTTCTCTCTCTCTCATTGATTGTCGATTCCCATGACTGTCTCTTCCTCTTCCATTTCCAATGGAGTCCTATTCTGTTCTCGGATCATTTCACGGTAACTTCCTTTCTCTCATTTTCTCTCTTATTAGATTGATTTCTGTATTTTTTATTGAGTTCTTTTGGTTTGGTTTTATTGAACCATGAATAGAGAAATTTGTAATTAGGTCATAGATGTTTAATTTCATTCGGTGAAATCTGTTCTGGATCTAGTAAATTTTTTTTATTTTTTATTTTTACTTTTGATTTGTCATTGAGAAATATAAAATTAGCTTAAATTCCAGAGATCTGTCATTGGTCTTTTTTAATTTGAATAACAATTGCGGAAGTTAAGTTAGTCAGCTATGTGAATCTTTATTTCAAAAAATTTAGTGTTTTATTTTTACTGTTTATATTATTTATTGAAATGTTTTGAATCTTTTGAGATACTCTGTAGCATAGACTTAAATAGCTGTCTGCTATAGTAATAGTGGCCATTATATAATGCTTTTGGTGCCGTCCAAAACTGTGATTGCATGGCCGCAATATCCACAATAACACCTATTATATCCGTAATCGTGATAAAGGTAATGCAACCGCAATATAAGGGCCTGCTCTGTAGATTATATGGTTTGGCAACCATTTCGTATCTGTAGTTTTAATTTCTTTACATTAGCATAGTTGTGAGTTGTGACCTTAAAATTCATAAATTTTTTACACAAAATTTTGCGTATATGGTTTTATTTTCCACTAAAGCCCGCGCACTGCTCTTGAATTTTAGATTCTGTATTTGGTGTTTCACCAGCACATGGCTCACTTGAAAGGCCCGGCACAGTTCGTTTTTATTCCGGCAGCTGGCCTGCTTCAAGAAGATCATGTTTCCCAGGCTTGATATTTGGGGAGGAGAACCATTTTTCCAGAAAGCAAAATGTAACCCTAATATCATGTGTGAAGACACCGGAAGCAACTGTAACAGCCAAGTCAAATGGTGAGACTTAGGATGAAAAACTTTACTTGATGGTCCCTTATTGCATAAAGCTTGTTAAATATAGTTCAATTGCAGATCGAATCATGACACTGTTACTTTTGTATTTAAGCGTTTCTTCTGTTCAGAAATAGCTGATCTATACTGGTAGGAAAAAGGAAAATCTTCTTGTTTTGAATAACTAAAGCAAAATGGTTTTTAAAGTCATCTGTTTTGTGATTACATTACAACCTGAGGAATTTGTCTGATTTGCATCCTAAGGTTTAATAACTATTGATCCCACAGTTCAATCTGACCGCACCAAGAAAGGCTCATCAGAGAAGAAAACTTCACGGACTGCAACTTTTCCAAATGGATTTGAGGTGATTATAGAATCTTCAAATTGACCATATTTTCCATTCTTGCTTGTCATTCCTCCCTTCTTTATGAAAAGAGTTCGTTGGTGCAAAAAATTTGTTCATAAATGTTACCCTTTTCAGGATTTCATTTACATTTTGAGTCGGTTAATCATGTTTCTTTTATTCCAAACAACTTGATTGATGTAGTTTAGCTTGAGCATAATAATTTGTATCTGCCTCATTTGGAGAAAAAATTAGTATAAGTGCTGCCTGGTTTTGATCTTTATTCTCTTATTAGGTATAGCTGGAGTTTAACAAGTTTTTTTTACAACAGTACTGATATCAAGAATTCTATATTTTGAACATGAACAAAAACACCCACCTTTTAGGCAATACTTCATGCACTTTACAAAATCTACTAATCTAATAATCTTCTGTTTGCCAAACATTCTATATTGGGAATGTTTGTTTCTGTCTTTATGTTGCTCGTCTAGTTCGTACTATGTTTGTAGTTGTTTTCTTCTTGACAAGTCTTCTTTTGACCCATTTTTGATATTGTTGTCATCATTCATTGTAGCTTTTGCCCCTTTCATATTAATCAAAGAAAAAAATTCATTATTTTGAATATAATTTCCTAGCTATTAGCATTTTAATTCCTTAAACCGTCAGGCATTGGTACTGGAGGTATGTGATGAGACTGAGTTTGCTGAGTTGAAAATGAAGGTTGCTTCCTTTTCCCTTGTCATGTGATAGACTTGCATGCTTCTGCTAAATTCAGTCACAACTCAATGATTAATCTGTAAACATTTCGTAAAGATGTCTTAGTAATTATGAGAAAATCATAAGTGATGAAACCTTTCATGTCGATTATTTGACAATTGAATGGATGTAGAGCAGCTAATTATCCTACAGTATTTTCTATTCGGTTACCTTTTGCTTTATGCTAGATTGGAGACTTCAAAATGCATTTGAAGCGGAATGTTGGTGCCACAAAAGCTCCTTTGTCCAACATTTCACCTACGACAGCTCCACCAATCCCAACCAAACCAATGAACAAATCAGCTGCTGCCACCCCCTTCTCCTTCACCTCCGAAACCCTTTCCAGAGAAGGTTTCCCCATTCAAAAATACCGATTTCGAGAAGTCATCATCCAAGTTAGCTGCCTTGGAAGCTTCTGGATCTAATAACTATGTTTTCGTACCATCTCCTATTGTATGTTTTCTTCTATCAAGTGCAAAGCTTATATTTTTGTTTTCCATTTCGGAACACTGTAATGATCTTCACATTACTGCAGGTCCGCACATTCAGAAGGGGTCGACGTTAAAGGAAAGAAGCAACCTCCCATATGCAAAGAGGTATTATTTTCTTTCTTAATTGATGTCTTATAATCCAAAACATCATTCGATAGCAAATGAAGTGAACGCTGTTG